ATGTCCTTCATCTCGGGAGGATATATATCTTCGTATCTGACAAGAACACCATCTTCTTCTCATACCACTCCTCAACCAATTTCGACTCACTTAGAAGCAATCAATAAACAAGTAACACCAACCAACTGCAGTCGTGTACGTGGGAGACTAGGACATTGCTCAAGGTAGCGATCAATCAAGTTAACCTGAAAACACACAAAATCATCAACCAAGGGAGCACCATCGATAGCTACCGTTAAGTAGAGCGTCTCAGGAACCAACTTGAACTTCCAGTGGACCTCAACCAACCAATCGATCAGAACTGCACGCATACGCTGAGTGATATCATTCTGGGTTCTCTGCATGTAGTCGCTGGACTGTCTGTATCTGAACCGGAGAAGATACCTTCCTCACTGAGGGATGATCAAGCCGACTTACTTTTGTTCAACGCCGTTCATATTGACGAAGATAGGGTTGACATATTCCGCCACGAACTGAGGGTCGCCGAGATCCTGAAAATCGTCCCTCACTGGAGGGATGAACTCCTGAGTGAACGTCACTTGACGATCCTCTGGGGGGATGGTGTCCTTCCAGTCAATCACTGGGCTGATGGACTCCATTCTAGCCGGTGTGGTGCCCTGCATGATAGTATCATCAAGATCGTCCCCTAATCGTGCCTTGCCTCGCGAGGCCGCGCCTGTTGTCATCCTGCAAAACCAACCAGAATCACCACCAAGACGAGACTCACCCGTGTGAGCAGGCAGAAAGTTCGAAGTGTTGCTGAGGTCCATGAACACCTCCCGTTTACGGGTTTCCATCACAGCATGACCCTCCTTCCCAATAGGGACGTTTTCAGACCGCTGAGAGTGCTGTGAACGGTTGCTAGAGAGCATAGTAGATAGAAGTTGTTTGTTAGAGTCGATATCGACCACTGTTGCGAATCGCGCTCGCCCTCAAAGATCGATCATTCTTGCAAAGTGCATGTATGATGCAGAATGTCGTCAACAAACACTACGTTCTTAATATAATTAATTACCCCATACTACCTTACGATTATTTAAGGGACAGTTTCACAATCCTATCGCATTCCTCAGACGTGAGGAAGTCGTCGAATATCATCAACAACGGC